CCTCGGTGTTGCTCCCGCGCCTCGCTCAGCCAGTGAGCGGGAACCGGTCTGTATGTGGGATCCGAACCCTCGGGCGGGAGCGCCACCACGCTTCCCAAGCGGCGCACTATCCAGTGCGCCACCGGGCCGGCCCCTTAGTGTTTTATTCTTAACCTATTTGATTCTTAATTAAAATGAAATTGATCTTAAAATGTATATGATGTTATCCGCACATGCACACACCAAAAAGAGATAATATTTACTGTCAAATTATCAAGGACCTATCTTTACTTCTTGCCATATTCTCAGATAAATAATAAAGAGTAAGAACACTCATGGATGGTCTATAAAATGATACCAAGACCAACTGTTTTAAATCTGGACTTTAAATCTGCTAAATAAATATTTAAAAAAACAAATTCCCCTTTGATGTTTACACGAGACTTAGGCCTGGCAGGACTGCAGAAGATGGTGGCCCACTGGATATGTCTAAGTGCGGCCCTGCTTTCATCTCTCCACAACTTCCAAGTAAGAAGTTTCTAATCTTCCTTCTCCTGTTATAACCGTGATGGCAGGCCCCTCCCTGCAGTCCCATGGCATATAACCAGGAAGGACACTCCCACCTCCCTCTCTCTGTTCTGTGTATCACCTGCCTGACCTTCAGGTGAACATATATTCAGTAACCAGAATGGTGTGACCTTTTCTTAATGGTCCAGGCACAGTTCTAAAGCCACTTTGAACCAGAGAGGGTGATTCGTGGTGGTTTTCCCTATCTATCCACACGGCTTCCTGCATTTACAGATAAAGCAAGGTCTCCTGAGAGGTCTGTCTTGTTTCCTGACCCTTCACGTCCCTGGGTCACCTCTCTCCTGCACCTTCTCTCTGATGTGCATGAATGCCCAAACCAGTGAGTCCTCAGAAAATGTCACCTCTCCCTGATGAAATGATGAAACTCTTGCTCACTGTCCCTTCCTAGGTCTTGAATGTTCTACAGCCTTGGTCACCCGCTTCACAACGATAGGTTTCCTTCTTTGCCTGTTTTTGGCTGATTCTGGCCTCAGAGGTCAGAATTTATAGTATTCAATCAGGCTGCACACACAATAAAATAGAAAAATATATATGAAAGTAGAAGGAAAAGGACTTAACACTTATCTTTTCAACCCCAAGTTCAATGAATGAATGGTTTTAGCCACCTACAACTTTATGTGTGTGTACAGTTACTCAGCCTTGCAGAAAACAGGGCAATTTTCTGATGCCAGTAAATGGAAAGAAGAAAAGTGACCTGAGTCTTTCTGAAGTGCGAAGGAGTGATCTAGGCAATAGAATCATAAAGCAATGCAATAGTCATTAGTATTTCAGTTTAAATAAAACAAAACAACATCCAGAAAATAAAAAATGAAGTTTCTATTGGGTTCTGTTCAAGGAGGTTAATTAAAAGCGGGAGAGAGAGAGGATTGACATTAAACACTAAAACACTCTCCACAATAACCCGGGCCTGAAATAGGTATAATGGTGACCAAGTAGAAACAAATAGCAAATAAAAACACAGGTTAAGGGGAGGGTGTATATAAAAAGAAAGGACAAGGAACTAGAAACAAGTAAGAGAAATTAAAGCACTACTTGGTATAAATAAAACATATCCACAAAAATGTTATAGTTCATATATTCTTATAAAATCTAGCCCAAGGGTCTATTTGTATAATACAGAACTTAAGTACCAAAAAATTACAGAAAATCTATATTCGGAAGAGACATGGAATCACAATTCCTGATAGTAAGCCACATCTGTTTTAAACCTTTTCATTACCTGGTAATTATCTGCAGTGCATCTCGAACTTTAACATGCATAAAAGTCAATGGGAGCACTTGTTAGCAGCACAGATTCCTGGGCAAACTCAGATTCAGATGGCCTGGGGCAGGGCCTGCCATTCTGCATTTTAGCCAGTTCTCAGAGGTTTCTGATGCTGCTGATCTGTGGACCACGCTCACTGTAGAACTGAAGAGAATATGAACTGAAGAACTGTCCTTGAGTAAAGATGAAGTAACCCAGAAATGGGAAGCTACGTGCTAGGGTCAGGAAGATGTGAGATGCTGTGGTCTGCAATAGCCTTGTGGAGCCACCAGTCCACCTTCGATGGTCTTTGACAGAAGGGACAAACAAACCTTTGTAAGGTCTCACTAAAAGCTGAGCACAAGTCCCCACAGATACAAAGGGTGCACGTCACAGAGCATGGTACACAGTGCCCTGACTTACAGAGGACACAGGCTGCTGCACCTGGGGCCCTCCTCAAGCCTGGATAGGATGCAGGGGCCAGTGTGGGGGACTGACCATGAAAACACCTGGCACTTTTAGAGAATACTGTGGAGAAATGGGGACAGAAAGGGATGGGGTAACTGATGCCACGGACACATCAAGGTGATGGATAGTCCTCTTTGAGGTTGCTCCCATGCTCCCATTTCAGAACTTCATTTTGTACAATATGAAATTCCTCCCAATTCATTTGTTAACACAATCGTTTTAAAATTACAAGTATCTTTGATATGTAAGGGCAAGAGGCTGTTGTTCCTTCACAGCTCAGCTGGCCTCTTACCCAGCCAAGATGAACTGACTGAAGGGTGTGTGTGTGTGCAGGAGTTTGGGCTTTAAGTGAGCAGAAGGAAGAGGGATACAGTACATCCCTTAGGAGCTGAGTAATCCTGACATGCAAAACTACCATTTCTTTCATTAAATGTGTGATCTCCACAAAAAGTTTTTTATGCTTAGAATTAAGTATAAAGGAGATCTGGGAAGATGGCAGACTAGAACTGCCCAGAGCATGCTCATCCTGCAGAAGAAAATCAAAAACAGGTCACCACCATGACCATAACAGTTGCAAGAGCCAATGTCAGGTCCCCAAACTGTTGCCCATTGCAGAGCAGCTCCCCACAGAGCAGCAGTACTGTGAGTGGCCATCACTGCAGCCAGGGACTCCAAAGATGTGAGGGAGGTGGCTACAACCACTGCCACCATCACTGCTGCCACAAATTAACCCCACAGCTACCAAGGATACTGCAGACACAGGGGAGGCAGCTGCAGCCACCAGCACTGTTGCAATTGTTGCAACCACCAGTGCTGCCAGGCAGCCACCACTGTCATACAAACAGGCCACCACTGCTGAAGCCACCACTGCCACATGAGCAGACACCAAAGCCACCTCCAAAACCACTGTCACCATGAGGGCAGACTGCTACCAGAGAAGCATCCACAGTAGCCACTGCTGCTGTGCAGGTAGACCACCAACCACTTGACTACACTGACACAAGTAGGGTCACCAACGGAGTCCAGGGAAGGAGAGTAATAGAAGAAGCAACTGCTCTACCAGATGACCAGACATCAATATAGAGATACTAGAAATATGAAAAAGCAAGAATATATGAGTCCACTAAAGGAATACAGTAACTCTCAAATACCAGACCCCATAGAGCAGGAAGCCCTTGAAATGGCAAATTTTGAGTAAAAATCTTAAGGAAACCCAATGAGGTACAAGAAGACACAGTTAGACAACACAACACACTGAGCAAAACTATCCAGGATGTGAGGGAGGAAATTTACAAAGAGATTAATGCTTTAAAAAAGAATGTAGCAGAACTCACTCAATGACATAAAAGACACATCTGAGAGCTTAAGCAACAGGCTACAGCAAGCAGAAGAAATAATTTCTGATCCTGACGACAGTCCCTTCCAAATAATTCAGGCAGATGAAAGAAAGAAAGAAAAGAAAAGAAGGACGGATGGACGGACAGAAGGAAGGAAGGGAGGAAGGAAGGAAGAAAGGAGAGAGAGAGAGAGAGAGAGAGAGAAAAGAAAGAAAGAAAGAAAGAAAGAAAGAAAGAAAGAAAGAAAGAAAGAAAGAAAGAAAGAAAAGAAAGAAAGAAAAGGAAAGGAAAAAAATGAAGAAAATCTAAGTGAACAGCAGATAACTTAAGTGCACAAACATCTGAATCATGGGTATTACTGAAGGGGAGGAGAAAGAAAAAGGCATTAAGAACATATTCAATGATATAATAGAGGAACAGTTCTCAAGTACAGGGAGAGACAAGGACCTTCAGATTCAGGCGGCTCATATACCCCCAAACAGGTTCAATCCAAAAAAGTCCTCTCTGATGCACATTATAGTCAAACTGGCAAAACTCAAAGACAAAGAGAGAATCCTAAAAATAGCAAAAGAAAAGCATCAAGTCTCCTACAAGGGAGGCCCCATCAGACTAACAGCAGCCTTCTCAACAGAAACTGTACAGGACAGAAGAGAATGGGATGATATATTCAAAATACTAAAAAAATCTGCCAGCCAAGAATACTAAACTCAGCAAGCCTATCCCTCAGAAATGAATGAGAAATAGTGTATTTCCCAGACAAACAAAAACCACAAGAGTTCACCACCACACAACCAGCCCTACTAGAAATTCTCAAAGGAGTCCTACATCTGGAACCTAAAAAACAATAATCAATACCATGAACACATAAGAAAGAACAAAACCCACTGGTAGAACAAAAATGCAAATGAGAAAGAGAAAGAAACTGTATCTTACCACTTCCAAAAGCAAACACTGAAGACAAACAATAAAAGGGAAAGTACAAAAAGATATTTAAAACACCAAATTAAAATGGATAAAATGCCAGAAGATGATACCTTTCAGTAACAGTCTTAAATGTAAATGGATTAAATTCCTTACTCAAAAGACATAGAGTAGCTGATTGGATTAAGAAGCTAGACCCAACTATGTGCTGTCTACAAGAGACTGAGTCACAGTAGACAATGCCTTCCTGTGGCAGCGCCAAGAACCCAGTAAGAGGATTGGGTGGGTTGACACCAACTATCGGGCTCCCCAGACCTTACCTCCAACATCAAAACTAAAAAGCTTCTGCATAGCAAAAGAAACAACAGAATGAAAAGAAAACCTACAAAGTAGGAAAAAATATTTGCAAACTATATATCCAACAAAGAGTTAATATGCAGAATATATAAGAAACTCAAACAACTTAACAGTTGTTTTTACATATACCACATTTTCCTTATTTTAAACAACCCAATTTTAAAAATATGCAAAGGAGCTGAATAGACATTTCTCAAAGGAGGATATGCAAATGGCCAACAGGTATATGAAAAATATGTTCAACATCACTAGCATCAGGGAAATGCAAATCAAAACCACACTGAGATATCATCTCACTCCAGTTAGATTGGATATTATAAAAACAACAGAGAATAACAAATGCTGACAAGGATGAAGAAAAAGGGGAACACTCTACACTGCTGGTGTGACTGTAAATTGGTGCAGCCATTATGGAAAATGGAATGGATGTTCCTCAAACAACTACAGATAGAACTGACATATGATTCAGCAATCCCACTGCTGGGTATATGCCCAAAGGAATGGAAATCATCCTGATGAAGGGATACCTTCACTCCCGTGTTTATCGCAGCTCTATTTACAATAGCCAAGAATTGGAACCAACCTAAATGTCCATCATCAGATGACTGGATAAGGAAAATGTGGTATATATACACAATGGAATACTACTCTGCCATAAAAAAAGAATGAAATACTGCCATTTCCAGCAACATAGATAAACTTAGAGAGAAAATCATGTTAAGTGAAATAAGCCAGGCACGGAAAACAAAATACCACATGTCCTCACTCATAAGTAGGAGGTAAAATATAAATACACAAATAAAAAAGAAAGAAAGGAAGGAAGATACAACAGTCACAAAATAATACATTTTGACAACTTTCAAAAGGAGAGAACAGAACTGAACTTACCAGAGGTGGGAAAGGGGGGGGGGCAGGTAAGGGAGGAATTGGTAAAGGGACATGAAAATGATTACACTGTATAATGTTGAATATACTAATTATCCTGGTTTGAGCATCACATATTGCACAAAGGTACTGGTATTCAACTCTGTACCCCTCATATATGTACAATCAACTATGTTACAATAAAAAATAAATTAAAAGTTTAAAAGAAAATAAAAAATTAAAGAAGATATCTACGCATTCTGTAGAAAACAATGGACCATCGTCATGTCCACAAAAGGGACATCCTCTGATGGTGATAAATGTGTGGGTTTTGAGGAATGTCTTGCCCACCAAGACCTTGCCCAGCTTCTTTTGGAAAAGGCTATGGGAACACTGGTGGCACTCGGAGGAGCTATAAGAATGCAAAAGCTGAGAACTTGGTGTAGAAGTGCTGGGTGGGTTGATAACAAATTCATTGAGGTTGCAAAGGAAGGTTCCCAATGAAGGCTCAGATGGCAACAGTGAGAAGCACGTGACTTGCTAAATATGCAAAAACTATTTCACCTTGTGAGCCTTTAATTTTTCAGAAAAGGTGCACATGATTTGCTCCAATTTTACATGCGAGTGATAAAAAAAATGAAGCTGACACTGAAAACTGTTAGGAAGAAAAACAACCAGGGCTGCTGCAACCAGAACTGATACCCAGAGAAGTGTTGCAAGTCTCATCATTTTAAAAATATACATTTAAAAAAATAAGAGTAATATATGTTCATACTAAAAAGAGAGTGCGAGAGAAAAGAATGTAAATTAAGTAATTAAGTCACTGGGAACGAGTCCACTACTACAGCCAGACTGGATCCCATGTCTTCTGATCACTCTTCA